TTATGTGGACCAGTTGATGAAAAATCATCTAATAAAATTTATGGAATTATATCATATGTTGCACCGGAGCTACTTAGAGGCGAAATTAATGCAAAGAACACAAAAGAAACTGATATCTATAGTGTTGGGATGTTAATGTGGGAAATACTTGCAGGTCACCCACCATTTGATGATAGAGGTCATAATCATCGTTTAATTTTTGACATATGTGAAGGTTTACGACCACCAATATTACCTGAAATGCCTGACGATTATGTGCAAATGATGCAGAGGTGCTGGGATGTGGATCCATTAAAAAGACCAACTATTGGAGAGCTTCATAAATTTGCTAGAAGTAAACACGAAGAATTTCTCAATAATAATAATAATAATAATAATAATAATAGTAATAGTAATATTAATAACAACAATAATAATAATCATAATAATAATAATAACAACAATAATAGTAGTTTGATAAAAAGAACAAAAAGATTTTTTGAAAAGTATGCAATTGATTTTAATAATAATAGCAGTAGCAGAAACAGTGGTGGTGGTGGTAATGGTGACAGTAATTATTCACAACAAATATACAAGCTACATCCAGATGCATATCATACAAGTAGAATTTTGGATGATGAAATTGCTAAATCAAGAAACTTAAAAGGTTATACAAGTAATGACAGCTCATTAAATGATCTTGATTTTAGCTCTATTCTTTGAATGTTGATTTTAAAAAAGGTGAATTAATTTTTCATTACGAATTGATTATCCATTAATCATTACTAACGATACCTTTTATTATTATTTAATTAATTAATAAACATTTAGTTTCCGGTAATAACAGTAAAGAAAATGGTCAAGATTAAAATTATTAATGAATTTGGTTGATGAATTTGTTGAACTAGTTCATTTTATAGATCGCCAGTTGAGCTACATATTAACACAGCCAATTAAATATTTAGTTTAAGTTTCGATAAATCTTTATGTAAAATTTAATGTTTCAGACCTTTCTATGAATTGAATTGAATATGATAAAAAAAACTTAAGATTTGATTGTCTTAAAAAATTATTTATTAATTAATTAACTATAAATGAAAATATTCCTGAGAACCCAAGCTACAAGTTGATTTACTTATTTTTATCACAGAACTTCGATTTTTTAACTTTTATAATTTTTGTTTACGTTTTTTTCTGCGCGAGTCAGATTTGACATTTCAAATTTGTAGGGTCATGGAAAGCTTAAAGCATTAAATATTTATCAAAGCTTAAGCTACGTATCGTATTATACATTTAATGGTTGTTATTATGCTTAATTAACAAAAACGTGTATTCCGAATCTTTTGTCTAGGTACTGTAGAAAATTATAAAACCACGGTTCAGCTAATCAAATCGTCATTTGTGAGCCGAACCCTAATTCTATACAATACAATTAAATCTATAATTCTATTAATTAATAATCTCTTTATAAAATGTCTCAACAACAACCACCGCTTCATTTTTTTAAAAAGAGTGTATATTAAAACCACAAATTGTGTTTATTGAAACAAACTAGATCTCAATCAAAAAATATTGTTTTGGGCAAAACATGAGCGTTATCAACAGTAATATATATATATATATATCAATTGATAGTGAAGTTAATGAAATGTCAACTGACGAGGACATTCTTAATTTTTTCTAGTAATTTGAAGAGGAAGGTGTTATTGTGTGTGGCTCAACCACACATAACTAATATTCCAATGAATGAAGCTATGCAAGCTTTTCTTGAACAAAAGAAGGCATTCAACACTATAACAACTATATTAAATTATATTGATCATTCTCTTGTTTCAACGAATTTAGGTGATTGGTCCCATAGATTCGTTGAATTCTAATAAAAAAACAGGAAAAGGACCGTTTTTTAGTATCAATATCATTGATTAAAAAATTTAATTAGACATTGCTAGTTGTTTTAAAAAAACATATTAATATATATACATATTATTAACCAGTCTTTGTCTGGACTGATCTCTAATACTATTATTATTATGTACTAATACGGTGCAGATCATCTATAATCATTAATTGCTTTGGTCAACTTCAAAATACTAAAACAAAAAAAAATTATCTCATTTTAAAAAATTTAACTGATAAGTTTTATTGTTATGACTCAAGCTTCAAAACTTATCGGCTGGTTTTTTCTTAAACTGAAAATTGGCTGAACCTTAGCATTTTGGAAATTCCGAATTTTGTTATACACTTAAGAAATTGAGACTAAGTAAATTTCTACAACATACATTTAATTTATTTGACTTATTTATTTCCTTTTTTTTATTAATAAATAAAAGTTCTTTACAACAAAAAAGTTTAATTGACGATCCGTCTATGAATCAGTGAATACCGTAAAGTCTGGAAAGATAGCACCCCTACTTTAAAACAATTGAGCATCAATATAAAAAAAATGTTGCACATATGTAAAAAGGGGATGCTATCTTTCCAGACTTCACAGTACTACATAGTGATCGGTGGGGGAAAATTGACAAAAAAAACACTAGTCGGTAACCTTTTATAAAAAAAGTACTATACTTTTGTCTTGCAAGAAAAATTTTTTTTGTGTATACAGTCAACCCCCTCTAAGTGCACCCCCCTCGGGAATGGGTGATAGCGTGCACTTAGAGGGGGTGTGCACTTAGAGAAACAAAGCATTTCATTGGTTACACGTGATACCAATAAGAATAAAAAAAAATTTTTAAATTTATTAATAATTAATCAATTATAACATTATGTTATTATCACCAAAAAAAAAATTTATATAATTATTGATTAAGATAAGATTCTAAAGTACTTTGTCTCATTGCATTTATTGTTTTTAAACTAATATATCTATCAAGAGAATTAACCAGTTTCATTTGTTGACTAGAATTTTCTTGTTGTAATAAAAATGTACAGACAATTTCCAAGCTTTTTGAAGCTTCACTAGTACTTATCAATACTTGCTTGACACTATCATCTTCTTCATCTTCAAATCATTGGTATCTATTTCTGGTTGCTGTTTATACATTTCCACAAGAGCCTCAATAATATTATTATCATCAGGGACTTCATATACAGAATTTTCTTCTGGATTATTCAAATATTCTTGAATAGGTATTGCATCATTTAGATTGAGAGCAGCAACTGCCTGAGAAACTTGGTTTGTTGTTGGATCATTAATATCATCAGAGAAATTGGACAAATTAACATTAATTCGGTCTGGAAGAATTTTAGTATGATGCCAGCAATTATAAATGGTTTGTGATGATACTTCCTTCCAACTTTTAATAATAAATTTTATTGCCTGTAATACATCCATTTTTAAATTTTTTATATCATTTCCTGCTTCAACTTGATTTAGAATCCAGTTAATATGTAAATGGCGATAGTGTCTTTTAAAAGACATAATGATACCAGCATCCATTGGCTGGATTTTTGAAGTAGTGTTTGGGGAGAGAAAATGGACATCAACATTTGAAAGAACCAAACCATCTATTTTGTGACTTGGACAATTATCAGGAAGCAATAATACATGCTGGTCGCCATATTTTGAAGCAATCTCTCTGTTGAATCCTTGGAGCCAATCTTGAAAAACAGTAGATAACATCCAAGCCTTTGTATTGTGACAATATGTCATTGATAAGTTACTAAGGTCAACATTAATATTTATCATGAATAATGCATCAATATTCTACTATCTCATCATTTCAATAATTTAGAGAACATTCTTGTCTAATTGCAAACAATACATCTATCATCACTTATATCATTGATTATATTACAGCGTGTTCCAAAAAGAATGGCATGCATAATGCAAATTCATTTTGAAATAGAAAATTTTTTTTCACATGATCAAAATGATTGGATAACTTGTTTATGTGATAACCAATCCTTGTGTGTATTTACCACATTGTCTCTCTTTATTTTTTTGACATGCAAACTTTGTAAAAGATGGTTATTGCAAAATTAGAAGCACAATGTAAAGCAATTTTACATTTTTGGATGAATGGTATCCATTCATCAAAAAAAAAAATACATGAAATATCAAAAATACCATCCAAAGAAACTTAAAAAGATCAAAAGAGACAGGCACTATCAAATATAAAGGTGGCAGTGGTTGTCCATACAAGGTTACACGAACTTTTGCACATTCTATTGGGCAAATTATTCACCACAATAGTGCTGTTTCAACATGATAACTTGCAATAAAACTTCGAGAAATGCATATATAGTGCATCAATTTCACATCCTACTGTATGGAGACATATTAAAAAAAAAGATTATAAGAGTTCCGTGTACATTGGAACACCAATGTTAACAGCTCACCATGTTGAAACAAGAATGGAATGGGCACGATCTCATATGAATGATGATTGGAGCCATACAATTTTTACTGATGAAACAGCCTTTGACTTGTTTCATAATAAAATTCGTAGATGGCATAAAAATGGGCAAAGACCAATTTGGAGATTGCCAAAAGATCATCAAAAAGTAATGGCCTGGGGTGACATTTCATTAAAAGGCAAAACATCATTACTCTGCTTTATCAATATTATGGAGGACCTTATTATGTTAACATATTGGAGACTCAGCTTTTGCCTGCTGCACAGAGATTGTATGATAGAAACTGGCTTTTACAACAGGATAACAATCCAAAGCACATGTGTGTTGCAAAAACTTTTATTGATGAAAAGAGAATTCATGCAATGGACTGACAATTCAGCAGTCCCAACCTTAACCCATTGAGAACATGTGGTATATCATGAAAAATAATGTTGAAAAAAGAATGTCAACAAATTGAAGCGATTTATGGTTGAAGAAATTCCTCAGGAAACAGTCAAAAATATTATTATGTCTATAAAATGGAGATGCGAATTGGTCTTAGAAAAAAATGGGGATAGAATTTCTTATTAATTTTTTTTAATTTAATAAAGTATTCAATAGGCTTTTAAATGAGCATAATTTTATTTGTTTATCTTGCAGTATACAGTTTTTTGTGAGTGCCATTCTTTTTGAAACATACTTTATGTGAAGAAATACATTTGTATTCCTATTAAATTTTATTATGTTCAGAGATATATATAAAAGGGTTGATTTCACAACCTTTAATGTTTGAGATAAAAGATAAATAAATATTTTAAAAAATTTTAAATTTAAAAAATCATGTGAAATTTGATAACTCAGTTCTCTTGATAAGTCAATCGCTGGGGTCCACCCTGACAAGGCCAACTTATTGAGTTTACATATGTATTGCCACATTTAAGTCATGCACAAACTAATCTCCATTCTGCTCTATTAATTTCTGTCCTGCATATTTAATCATTTCATTTGATGGACCAGGAGCTTTATTGTTAGGTAAGCTCTCAACAAGTTTGAACCATTCTTCAAATGTAGGTGGTTACATTATGTATTTATACCATTTGTCATTGATAAAATTTAAAGGTTCATACTTTTTTTTCCAACTTTCATCTATTGTATTTCTTGATTTGGTGGAACCCCACCAAATTTTTTGAGAATGTTTGTTGACTTCATTTTTAATAATATTAGGATTGGTCAGAAGTTCTAAATCATCTTTTGTTTCAATCATTATTTTGTCCAAGATTATCTTACATTTGTTCTCGCAAGGCAATCATTGTCACTATAATTATTACCATTGCTCATGTTGCAAATAAGGACAATATCTTATAATAATAATTTCTAAAATTTTGATCTACAATCCATCAGCCTTTTAAAAAATCTATCAATCAATCTGAATATGTCAACTAATAATTTGCATTAAAAATCAAAATTATGCAAATGCATAAATCTGATGTCTCTAATACTACTACCATCGTTGTTATTATTATCATGGACAAGTATTATATATTAAATTTTTTTTTTTTTGGGCAAATACATGTTTTTTGCCATTCTAAGTAATGCATATAGACCCATCTCAACTAAGTGTCTATGCTACTGAATTCTTCATCAAAATTCCAGATGTAAACATGAATGTTAGGAGAAATTTATTTTTAGCTGGATTGTATCACTACTATTTTTAATTCAAATGTTTATATATATATATTGTGAGATAGTAATAGTAAATCTTGGACCTATCAATTACCTGGTTAATATTGGCCAATTAGGACGAATTTACTACGGGAGTCATGTGATTCGCTAAATATTATTATTGTAACGGCTACGCCGCACATTGCGCAGTGTCATATGAAAGATTATTCCTATTCATATTTCTATATTTATATTTATTAACCTACTCATCTGATGTA